TTTGTTCAGAGAGCTTTTCTTTGTCAAACAGGCTGGGTGAAGAAGTATGTCTCAAAATGAGTCTGCTTCATGGAAAACTTCCCTTTGCTTTTGTTAATTAAGTGGATGGCAAAATGTACCAGCTTTTGGCTTTCACTGGTATCTCTGAATCATGTTCCAGTTCCTGGTGTTTCACACTCTGTAATCTGGACTGGTTCTGGTTTCGTCTTTGAAGTCATTTACCAGGCTTATTCATCAAAAAGGCAATCAGACATGTTCCTTATACGATTCCCTGAGAACTGCTACACAGACCTGAATATTTCCTTTGACAAGCAGGCTCAGACACACAGGCATATCTCCATGGCTAAACAGGTTACCGTGCATTAACTGAGCCCCAGTAAATCACTCTTTGCATAATCTTAATTCATAGCAAATTCCAAGGTAGGCATGCTAATGTAACCTCAATGAAGGAACGTAACCTAAAGCATCTGCCACCAGCTGAGAACACGCACAAACTCAATTACTGTAACACAGTAAATTGCCAAGCCACAGTAATTCTGTCATAAATCTACGTCTGTAGCTTAATTTGGTGTGACTTTTGCATCTACACTCTAGCCTTCACACAGATTGCAGAAGCTGATTCCCTGTTGTTCTGAGCTTGTACCGTCATCTCCAGCAAAACAGAGTGCAAAGTGGGTGTACAGTGCTACAAAAGCATAAATATTTTCCCTGATGTCTCTGCTTTTAGCAAGCCTACTCATTAGATTTAGATTCCAAACTCGCCAGTTTTGTTTTGGGTCAAACCCTTTAATTCTGTATCATTATCTGTGCTATTCTGTCTAGGGAAACTGGCCCACGGCCCATAGGGAGGTAGAAGCAGTAGCTCAGCTCTTTGATACCAACTCCATGTACCACTGAATCATCTCATGCATTGGATTTAAGCCAGGCCAGATATGGGCACATAAGTATGTTTTTAACCTACTAGCCAGAGCACCGCACCATATAAATGACAGCTTCAGGCCAAGCGTAGGCTGTCCCCTGGTGTGAGAGAAGACATACTCATGCCATTACACTGCAAATCTCTCTAAAGAAACCACAGCAGCTGCTCTGCGATTTTGCTGGCTTATTCTAGCACACTAGGAGAATTATGCTTGATCAAAATCACTTTTATTTATGACTAAAGCTGTCCCAAAGGGAGGCAGGTATTCGGAAAGAGAAGTACACACATATTTGTTTAGACTAGCATTGACTGCCCAATTGTTCACACAAACATACTCGTAACCTGCCTCATTCCATCACGTTTTCAGCTCCTGGGTTTTCCTCTGCAGCCTTGTTCATTTTCCAGCTTATGGTTTGACAGAGCTCTGTGAAGTCACAAGATCAGCACAGAGATTTTTCTGTGTTGCTGTTGTTATTTGGAAACAAGATTAGCTTTCTTGCTGATGTTAGTTTTTGGTTTTCGTGCTTTTTCCTGTGGTCTGCAAAGAAAACCAGCTTCATGGCTACATTGTTAAAGAAATATTAACAATGGTTATTATGAAGTGTTTGATGGACTTGCAAACCATGACGCTGTGACCTGATTTTCTCCCAAGTGAGGTTTGCAGCCCTTTACATCTGGCCTGCACACAACTGAAAGGGGTTTATGTAGCGGTTAAGTCATAGATAAATACAGATAGGAAGCAGAGATGCCTGTGAGGACACTTGTCTTCACCACGTGCAGTAGTCACTATTAAAAGCAGACAATAGCAGCCTCCGATTCTGTTCTAGTGATGCTGAAGCCTGCTCTGTTTATGAGCAGGAGGAAACAGCGCAGCATTTCAGGTTGGACAGGACATCTGTGTGTGCCAGGTTCAGAAAGATGGTGTCTGCTGGTGAAGACTCAGGCCCTGACCGTGCCTGGATTAAGTCTTCTGCTGCTGACTGTTACAAGCAGTATGTCCTGCAGGAAAAAGGATCTGGACAGTGTCTGGATCCTTTGGCTCTACTGAGATCACAGGGAGAGGTTTATGTGGTTCTTGTGCTCTGCTCACTCGGAACCTGTGACCTGCTCATTTTCAAGAGCAGCAGGACTCGCCGTGGTCAGGAATCTCTCATATCTGAAGAGATTCCCTGTCCCACCTCTCACTGCAGGACAGGCATCAGGCAAAAAGGTGGTGCAGCATCTGTCCCCAGCCTCTGGGTGAGCTAGGTACATGACACTGGCCCAAAAGGGGCTAAAGGAATCTGAGAAGCTAAAGCAAGGAAGATGCTGCTGAAATGGAGTTTGTGTGAAGTGATGCAGGGAGCAGAAGGCTCGTGAGGGAGCACAAGGCTTGCTGGAGCAGGAAACCAGCATGTTGCTGAAAGGTCATAGTTTCACAGCACTGATTCTGGGTTAGGCAGGAGGCATGCAGACCATGGCCCTCTTGAGCTTCTCACAGAGCTGATGAATCTCTGGTGTCTGAGACAGGGCAGTAGGCCTGAGAGGCTGATTTACCTCCTCTACTCTATGTTGAGGAGGCTCTCCAGTGAAGTGATAGCAGCTGAATTCCACAATCATCCTATAGAGCGTATTTTAATCAGCTTTCTGTGTATTTGTAGCTTCTGTTTTGCTTTACTTTGGAAAATTTGCTGCTAGTGTACAAGTTGTATTCCTATTACATGCTACAAACTCCCCTAGCTATGTATTAATATCTCTGTAATGGTTTGGTTATAAACAGGAGTGATGGCTTCTAATGTAGAGCAAGCACAAAATCTCTGTGCTGTTTGCTTGCTTTCCTTCAGTAAGTCTGGCAAAAAATCCTGCAGCTGAGATTTAAGTGATGTAATCTTTACAGTCTCATCAAAGCTATGGATACAGTTGATTGCATGCAGCAGGGAAGCAAAGCTAAGCTTGGTTAAATGTGCTCACTTGTTTTCATTATCCCACTTTTTTTTTTTTTTATGGGCCCAGCATGGCAGCTTGGGAATACAGAACATTTTTCCTCCTTCAAAGGACCTGCGATTTGCTTTGTTTAAGTCTCTTTGAATGCATTTCTAGGTCTGCTAATCATTCATCACACACTAATATATTTAGTCCACCATCATCACTCTTTATTTGGTGAAGAAAATTGTTATTTATGAGTCAAAAGCTATTTATGAAGCAGACAGTCTGGTATTGTCAGAAAACAGGAGTGGGGGGAGCAGTTCTAATTACTAAAAGAAGCTTTGATTAAAAAGAGTGAATTAATTCAACAAGTGCAACTGGTTTTCTCTTTTTTTTCTCTAGAAGTGCAGAAGAAAGCATAACTCATTTATCTGTCAGACCTAAACTGAAACTACAGGACTTACTCAAATGCCCCAGGACATGGACAGATCAGTTCTAGTTTACTTCTCTTGGATGGTGTGAACCATCCAAGAACCATGCCAGTGCTTGCTGGCAGTGGTTGCTGCGGTTGTTTTGTAATCCACAGACTCAAAAGCACTTTTGCTGTAAGGGAGAGCCTCATAGGAGCTGGCCTTTTATCCTGACAGGGTGTGGCTAGGCACACTAAGACCAAGATGGTGTGTGTCCCATTGTTTCAGCTTGCAATGTCATTTATTCTGTTGTGCTAGGGTTGCTTGAGCACCTAATTTTCCATCAGACATTGAGATGGATCACACATCAAGGAGAACTAAACATCACTTGAATTCAGTAGCTTTGGATATTCTGGTTACTGTATAAACTGAAGATGTCAGGGCAGGCATCATCTTTCTGTTCTGTGTTGGCTCAAAACTAAGCAGACCTTTGGCTCATGCCAACGATCCAAAATGCCCTTAAACAGATATTTCAGCTTTTTAGTTCTTATAGATACACAGTTTTATATCCTAGCAGGAGGAGGGATTAGTCTTGGAGAGAGCTATCCATGAACCCCAATTGTGTTGCAGCCTAAGCTGAGGTTTTACTGTTGTGCTCACTAAGCCTGGCTGAGGTTCACATGCATCTACTTTTGTATAACTACCAAACGTTTCAGCATTTATCTTGATGAAACAGTGTAACAGTAAGAACAACATGAAAGTAAATATTCCTAAAGGAAATAACGAAGCTTCCTCTGCAAAATGCAGAAGGGAGAAAAACCTCCCACATGACTAGTTACTTGACCTTGGCATAACCTACTACAAAGGGCTCAGCTGCACTGCCAGCCCTATGCAGCATCTTCACCAAAACCTTGTATACAAGCCCAAGTGACAGATGCAGACAGCTGAAATACTCGCAGTGATGTGAATTCTGATGCTAGATGTGCTTAACCAAGTCAAGTCGATAATTATGTTTTTTGGGCGTATTAACTTCTGTATAAAACACAGTGGTAAAATACTGTACTTACAATACAAATTGTCTGCAGTGCTACACTGGTCTGACAGCTTCTATTATTTTTCCATGCAGGGAGATTGTGAGTTCATAGATTCCATGCAATTGTCTATTGTTGCCAACAAAACTCTTACAGATTGGTGCTTATATTTGACTCATTTATAGTTGTTTCCCTCAACTTCTACAGCTCAGGAAGACAAACAGTGTCCCTGTGAGAGCAGTGGCTTTATATCCCCATCTCAAACCTGTACTGCTATGCACCAGATGTGAATGAGTAGTGCCAAATAGTAAATACAGGCAGCTGCTGTGATGCCAGAAGTACCAGCATGACTGCTCTTGTCTAGGTACTTAGCTGGTTTTCATCCCTTCCTCCTCCAAATCCTCCCCAGTCTGGTTTTGTCTAGAAGAGAAGAGAGATGGAGAAATTTAGGACCATTTTCTCTTCTGTCTGTGCCTTTCTGCATCCTTTTTTCCCATGTCGGATTCTCCAAGCTTCAGTCTAGACAGAAGCCAGAATTCTCAAGGATGAACTGACACAAGGGAGAAAAATAGAAATGCAACTAATGTGAAAAGCACGTCAGAAAAAATACAAGACTTCCCCTGAAGGCCATCTTTTTCTGTTATGTGTTTGTATGATGCGTAAGTGTAGGTCCCTGGAGTCTGGCCCCTTACAGCTAAGTTGCTGCTCGTGGTGAAAAAGAACAAAATAAGCATATAACATCAGGGTAGCTTGTGCAAGTCTCTATTTAATTACAGTGCTGCATGAAGACAGTTGTTGGTGTCACATGTACTTGTGATGGGTATTACACATTCTTGACTCTTCAGGGAGTCATGTTTTCACTGGAGATTTTCACCACAGAGGTAGTGGCTTTTTTTCCTGTTTTCCTTTTCATTTCAGCAGGATTTAATAAGCTAGTTAGACCTACTGTAATTAGTTTACTCTTCAATCAGGAAGATAAACAGTATCATGACTGTAGTGGGAGCAAGCCGGCAAGCGCCAAATACAGTGCAGGCAGAATTCACTAGCTTCTTAATTAAAACCTGTTCAGGGGTGCAGAGAGCCACACAGGCTTCAGGAAGCTGTGAATCTCAGGGAAGAAAAGCAGGAACAGGAAGACTCAATAAGCAGAACTAAAGCTTCAATTACAAATAATGAATCACAAAATAGGGACTACAGCAAGGGTCCTAAGTTTTTCTTCAGGAATGAAGAAATGAAATCTTCTCACTAATGTGATGTAAAAAACATATCAGTACCCTTACCATCATCAGCATGTCCCTCCATCTGAAGTCCTTGGGAAAGCAGTGTTTTTTTCCAGACTGGAAGTAACAGTGAGGACTGTGTTTGCCAGACGCAGATCTGTGGGCCAGAGGCCTCAGAGTCCTGCATGATGCGACTGACTGCAACGAACACTATCCATCACAGCTATGGGCTGGTTGTCATTGCACCAGGTGCTGGACAAACAGATTGCAAAGACTGTCGTTGCTCTTGGCATTAGTTTATTTTTTGTAAAGCCAGAGGGTGATATATTTCTGTCTTCTCTCAGAAAGAGTTGTGAAGGCTTGATTCATGGATGGAAGGTGCTATAGTTTGTTGTCTTTAAGTGCAGATGTATAATAGGAAAGGAAAACCTGCTGCAGATGAGATGAACAGAAAGGCATTACTGCCTTTCCAAGGGCAGTGGGTATCTTCCACAAGCTACCTTTGAGCCTGGAATGTTAGGAATGAGTGGCTTAAAATGTCATTGGAATGAAGGATGGGCTGCAGGTAACTTCTCCCAACAAATCCTTAATCTCTAGGAAATGGCGCTGGGCTTTTTTTTTGTCCAAGTTAGCAAGCATATGAAGGACTTAGGCCCTTTTTCAGCAGCTTTTTCCTCCATGACATTGTGGAAGAGTCTTTCATCAGTGAGTCCAGTAGTTCAGGTGAGTTGAGTTATAAACTCTGCATCTAGATTCAGAAAGAAAATGTTCGAACAAGGTCCACAGTATTGAAGATGAGGATTTTGTCCTGGGTTAACACTGAACACAAAATAAAATCATGGGACAAAGTTAAGACACTGTTTAGATTCCATTTCTTTTGAGGGCTCACACCAGGTTTAATACAGGGCAAATACACCTATGGCAACTTGCAAATGCTTTAAAGCTTTCTTTCTTATATGCATATTATTTTCTATTTTGATAAGGTTAACTTGAAAATTCCAATGGCACCTTTCTGTTTTGCCTTTGTAAATACATTAGAAAATTGAGCAATAGCTTGTTACTATTTTTCCACTAAAACCCCACTGTCTTTATGTTATTTTTGTGTCTTTCACGTAATACCAGCCTGAGTTGATTCCTATCACTGAGCAAACTTGCTTAGTTAAAACTGGGGAGGAAAAGAAAAGAGCAGATAGCTTACGCCTGAGATCTCTTGAGTCAGTGTTTCCAATTTTGTAATTAAAAAAGGATTGGAAAGTTTCCTGTGCTTCTGCAAGAAGTGGGGTGTTTTTTCCTTGCCCATAATCCTATTAGCATACAAAGTACAAGGGTTCCCTGGCTGTGCATTGCAATGCCAAGACAGAAGAGTGCCTAGCCCCATCTTATATGTTCTCATGTTTTGTTCTTGCGGCATCATGTAACACCTGGTTCATGTGTGTCAAAGAGATGTTGCTCTGATAAGCATGTACTCTCCTATCTAGTTAATACATAGGACCTCTTTCTGCTGAGGGTATAACCTAAAATCCTTCACTAAGCTGGGATGCATTTAGGCATCTGTAGGATCACATTTATAGCTGTGAACAGGCTTTAAAGAACCATGTTCAAATCCTGTAAAAGTCCATGGGCTAAATACTGGAAACACTGGTCATCAGCCTATTCCAGGAATACAAGGTTTAGAATGGAAAGCTTTGGATCAAGGTGGGAATCCTGTTCCAGTTCCACAAAATGGCTAAAAGCATTACAACTTTTAGCTGTTGCTGCTTGACATAATCTCTTAACATACAGATGGAACACATTTACCAGCACAGTCCATCCCATAGGTAAAGGCTTTGTTAGCAATATAGGAAAACTGGGGAATAAAAGAGCCCCTACTGGCAGAAGTCTTCATCTATCCTGAAGCAGAAACGATGCGAGTATTTCACAAACTGCATAGAAAGAAAAGGGATATTGCTCTCCAGATTGTGTTTTAACATCTTTAGAAAACAGCAGGTAACTAGAACTTGGGAACCTTCCTCTGCATATGGCTTTTGTAATCATCTAGTTCTCTAGATCCAACATTAATTTTTAGCCAGGCCTATTTCCATGTCATTTTATTAATCTTACTATATTTTATTTACAGAGATATTATTACAAAATATATTGTGAACTGAGTACAATTAATACGTACAGTGTGGATTTGGTAACGCCAGAGTGTGGTGAAATTAGGCTGTTATGGGTTTTCAATAGTTTTAATCCATGAAAGGTAGCTATTAGAGGGTAAGGGATGCTGGAAACATCCAGACCTTTCCACAGTTCAGCTTAGAACAGGAGCAGGTCCAGCTAGGGACTCTTTTGGGGTTTTATTCTGGCTTTTTCCAAAACACACAGTTTAATCTCGCTTACTGTTAATTTAAATTAATTTAGGCACAATGTTATTCTGTACTCTCTCTATTGAGAGACATAGGCAAATCTTATCTGAAGTGGTCCTTGGCTTCATGGCACCCCAAAGTTAGGTGAGAAGAACTGGACCTAATTTAGCTGACTTGTTCAAGTTCACACGGCAGACATGGCTGCAGATGCCACGCATGGCACACTGTCTTCCTGTTTCTACATTCACCACACTAACACTCCTCACCTAGTTTTGTAACTTCTTGTATGAGAGTGGAGATGAGATGCTGGTGGGCAGAAATTGCTGCTGGGCTGGCTGATGATAGATGGTAGTTGGTGTCCTGCTCGATCTGAATGTATACCGTGCAACACAAGGTATCACTTCTTTAGTTCACTCCGTCTGTTTTTTTGGCTTAGGCTTCTGTTCAATTCATCCTGTTTATTCATATTTACACTGGTGCAGTGGTCCCACATGAGACCTATGCTCCCCTTCTTCCTTTTGCCTGTTGCTTGTACTCCCACATTGTTGCAGGAGTTGGTTCTGTAGTTGGCAGTACCTTCTTAGCCCACTTAAAGGGACGTCTTAAAGATTTTTCTCAAGGCTTCAGCAGTTTAATACTGGGTAAGCCAGCTCAAGGTGAAGGCAAAGCTATTGCACAGATTGTCCGCAAGCTCTGCCTGGCTCCTATTGCAAAGCAGAAAAGATGGTCTTGTCTTTGGTGAGAATTGTATCAATGACATAACACGCAAACCGGTAGCAGCAGTGACCTACCGCTAACAACACGTGGCTCTGCGCCTGTCTGTGTTTAATGCACTCAAGGTTAGATGACCACAGGCAAGAATCAAGTGAGTGTGTCTTGATTTTTGCTTCCGCTTCAAACACAGTGTGAGGGTAGCTCTGAAAAGTGCCCTTGGGATTGGTGTCCCAGAGTCCAAAGGTCACCATGAGGAATGACAGAACCTCCCACGCGAAGGTCCTCGTTGCATCTGCACCAGAAGGTGCATGGGCATGGCACTGTTGTAACACTGCAGGCCTCACGCCAAATACAAGAGCTCGAGACCTCTCCATGGCTGCCCATTTGTGTGCATGAATGGCATCGGGGTTATTTTTTCTCATTCTGGAAAATGTGGTTGCTGTTTTTACTTTTAACAGTGGAGGATCTTCAGGAAAGCCTTACGAAATTCAATGTTGAAGGTGGTGTAAATAATTGGGTTGACAGCACTGTTGACATATCCAAGCCACGTAAAGACGCTGTACATTGCTGGGGGGATGTTGCAATCGCAGTGCATGTTCAGGATGTGAGTGATGAAGAATGGGAGCCAGCAGATGATGAAAACACCTGGGGGGAAAGGAAAGAGACAGATTTTGATTTCTGAAAGCTGGACAAATTTAGAGACTACGAGAACAATAAGGGTCTTTTGGGTATGAATGAAAAATATTTCCCTGGGGAATAAGCCTTCTATTTGTCTGTTAAACATCACACACTATATTCTGAGTACCAGAGAACTTGTTTGCTGATGAGATTAGACCAGTTAACAACAAAAAATCTGACCTTCAGAAGTACCAGTTTCTTGCTGAGGAACTATGCTGCCTTTTGTGTTCTAGAAAGCCCACGAGTTCTCTCGCCCCTGCACCCAGCTGTCTTTTAGCAGTCCAAATACCCCACAGATGGACAGCTTTTCTGAGCCATTTTTACAGCACTGTGACCTGTTTCTAGCTGGAAAGGAGAAAGCCTTCCTGTTGGCAGCCTCTTGCCTACATGTCTTCTAATGTTTCAAGTGAAGTTATTTCTGTGGAGGCCTGGACAAGACAGTCTACATTGGACACTCAGGCTGGCTACCCTAATCCTTGGTAGCTGTTGGTTTTCTGCAGAAACACAAGAGGAAGCCAGTGTGCTCTCTCACCAAGTACAATGGCTAGCATCTTAGTGGCTCTCTTTTCCTTCTGTTGTGACAGTTTCCTCCTGCTCAGAGCCTTGAGAAAGTTTCTCGTCTTGCCATTGGGCAGAGACTGGGCCTCAAAGGCCTTGGCTGTGTGGGGTGTTTCTTTGGCATGTCCATTCTTCTCTAGTTTCCCAGGGCTGTCCAAGGCTGCCTGCAGGGTTGAGTTTGTCCCCCGGTTAGAAGCCATTGGCACAACCAACTGGTGGTTACTTGGTGCTGCAGGTTTGATGGTGGTTTTCTCAGGGGGACTGGTACTGGACACCATTTCCATCTCTTCTATGTGACTCTCCACCTCCTGGACAAGAATCAAATGTCCACAACATAAAGACACATAAATATACAGAGAGAAGCAATGAACACTCCTTACAGAGTGAAGCTGGATGATGCTGCAGAGCAATCAATCCCTCTTCTCCCTATGTTTTTGGTAGATGCTTGGAGAAAGGGCTGTAAAGTGTTCACAAGAAATAATAAATTTGGGTACAACTGCAGTGAAGGACTCTCCTTTATTGCACAAAGAGGTTAAGAAATGGGAGAGACACTGTTTCCACTCCCCATGGATTTTATTTAGGTCTTCATAATATAAACAAAACTGAAATCAACAAGGAAAACCCAACCAAGCCAGTGCAGTCCGAGGCTTAAAATAAATAACAGAGGAGAAGAAAATCATAGACACAAAATGTTCAAATGTCATGGCTTTTACAGCTGATCTTTAGGTGAGCTTAGTCTGGCTTTCTGAGTTCTGTGATCTTAAACCCCCTGCTTCACTCTAAGGAATGGGAAGAGTATTTAAATTTTGAGATTGAATGGTAACCTTTGGTCTTAGTTTGTTTTTCTCCCACCTCACAGAAATTCATTTTGCATCCTGATAGGAGAGAAGGGGGAAGCTAAATGCTCTGAAAAGCTACCACTTCTCTTTAACACTCACCACTTTGCGCTTATTAACTTGGAAACTCCCATTGGACTTCACAATAACTGTGCAGAGCTTGACGTCTTCTGGATGAGTGCATTTGTCCTAAGGGGCAAGCACCAGCTCAGAGGTTACACAAGCACAGAGTAATTGGGAAGGGGAGCTGGTAAGGGAGGCAGGTGGAAAATACAAACACAGGGCATGAAGCAGAAGTTAGTGTGGCCAAGGTGCTAAGAATGGTGCAAAACTGCTCTGAAGAAGCAGTAATAGAGGCAACTACCCCTTGTGATTCTCACCAGAGGAAAGAAACCACAGAGATCTGTTTGTTTTGCTCTATTCCTGTTTCACTCCCTCTTTTGCTTGACATAGTACTGGTCTCTGAGGCAATGCAGTTTGAAGGTAGTGCCTCTGGGAATATACATTCCTCTGTGGCATGTGTTGAGAGAGTAATGTTTTGACAAGCAGTCTCACACTTAACATGCTCAGCTGGACTCCACTTGTACACATATCTCCTGCTCTGAGAGGCTGTTTTCACTGTAGAGAGATCATTACCAGCACCCCAGCCATGCAAACAATTTCCAATTAAGTTATTTGTCACAAGAGCAAGACTGACTTAGAAAATAAGATAGCCTGTAGTCTCAGGTACCCAACCCAAATTCAGCAGAGCCAAAGGAAAGGGTTAATGAAGCAACTCCTCATGCAGATCTGCTGCTGAAACAGCCCCTGAGCTCCAGGGAAGCCTGTGAAGCATCAGCCTGATAATCCAGAGAGTGCAACTTGGACTCCCAAATGGCACAGGACACAGCATTCACCTTCGTGATCCAGTATTTCATCTAGTCCAGCCAGTGTCATTTGAGAAAAGGAGGAAGTGCTTTGGGGAATGAAGTGGAGCAGGAAGGGGAATGCACAGAGACTGCTGAGAGCAAGGCAGAGGTCTAGTTACCTTCAGCGGGGCTTGTGTGTCTGAGTCCAGGCCACGGCTGCTGAGCTTGGTGGTGACACGTTTCCTGCGCTTCTGAAGGACTATGTAGATCTGCACATACACCAGCAGGGTGACAATGAAGGGAACGTAGAAGGAGACGATAGAGGAATACACGACAAAGGTAGGGTTGGCAATGATGCACTCATTCTCATCTGGAAGACAAAAAGTATCAGGCTTGTTGTCCCTGCTGCTAGGAGCTAGCACTGTCTTCACCCCCTTCTCTCCCTCTTTCATAAGGCACAGAGATACTAAGAGCATGAGGGGTTCAGATTCTAGGGGGAGCTACCATGTCAGATGGAAGTGGTACCAAAACAGCAGACTCCCCTTGGGAGTCACGTACAGCCCGAAGTCCCTGGCTATTGCTTGCATTATAATTAAAAGCCTACAAATCCCATGCTGTATACAATCCAGTTTTCCTAACAAACTGATGGCTGAACAGCCAGTTCTTTTCTCTCCTGTCTCAGTGAAGCTAGTTATCCCACAAATTTCCTTTTAATGTGTTTTAATATAAGAGGGATTTTGGTTTTTGTAGTGGACGAATGTTAATATAACATTGGCAAGTGCTGTGTAAACATTTACATAACCTCAGTTCTGATGCGTCTGGAACAGCAATGGGATGAAACAGATCCAGAAGCAGCTGACAAACAGCTGGAATGACATGGGGAGAGGACACCTGAAACAGGGATGGGTGCACCCTGATACACCTAAAACTTCATGCTTATTCCTGACTTACAGAAGACTACCTGGGGTCCCAGTAAAAGCCAGGAAGGTGCCAATAGCCAGCTGCAAGTGGCGTAACACTCACCTGTGTTATTGAGGCCAAAGAGGAGTGGGCAGGAGATGGCAAACGAAAGCACCCAGACCACAGCAATCATGGCTGTGACCCTGCGCTTAGAGCTGTAGCGGGTGTTGTACAGCATTGGCATTGCTACTGCTGTGTACCTGCAAGGTGAAGAGACAAACCCAGTTCATTGTTATTCTGCCAGTGCTGACAGACTCTGTGGGAAATGACACCTTGTTGCTGTGTCTGAAAGCCTGGACCAAAAAGAGAGTATAGGGCATGTTTCACAAGTCTCCAAGATATCTGCGTTCCCTGTTTTGGAAGGCATGAGTCCGGGGTCAGCTTAGCATAGGGTTTTCCCTCCACTCTGAGCTACTGCCTTCCCACTCATGTTTGAAAGGACAAAAGAGCTGAACTAATGGGGATGTATACACACAATTACTTTTACACTCCCAAGACCAGTGTTTCTGTATCTGCTTCTGACGGAAACCCTGCTCAAACCTCATATAGGTCCTCCAAGTTAATCTTCAGAAGATACCAGCTGCACAACCTCTTGTCATTTTCAAGTCTCTGAGTCACGGTTAAAATTAGAGTATATAAAGGTGGCCGTGACTTGTTACTGTGGATTTGACACAACTTGCTGCTAAGCAGCCCTCACCTGTCTATGCTGATGGCACAGAGGTTGAGGATACTGGCAGTACACATCATAACGTCAAGGGTTACAAAGATATCACAGTGGATCCGACTAAACCTCCACTCACCAACGACCTGCCAAAAGAGAAAATAGGGTCAGTAAAAGAATTCATGCTATTGAGAAGGTCTAAAGGGAGAATTTTGCACAAAGCTACCTACACTTATTGGTAGCTAGAGTTCCACTGCTTCAAGAGGGATCAAAATCCTGGCTAAAGCGGTTCCAGCTGGAATCAGGTCACATGCAATCAATCACATGCTGTTTCAAGTAGGATTGTGTGCCATCAAGTGACTTCAAGGACTTTGTCCTGTCTAGTCTAAAGGCTTCAGATGATGGCACGGCCACAAAGGAAGTACTTCGCTCCATCCAAACCATTCTTTTGAGTGTTGCCCTAAGAGCTGGTGTGATTTTGTCTTTCCTAATTCCATCCTGTTACCCTGTATTGTGTTGGGCAGCCTGAACAGCAGACACAAACCTGGGCTCATACTTCAATGACATAGGGGAGTGCAAGTCTCCTCAAAAACCAGTATGATCTATGTAATAGTCTAAACGGGTCTCTGAAGCATTGCAAGGAAGTATGAAAAAGGAAATACATTAATTGTATATCCTGAGCACCTGTGATTGAACTTACAGCTTTTTATTAGGCACTTTTTTGGAGTTCTACCTAGCAAAGGCCAGGACCTTTCCTTCATTTCTTACTTTAAAAAATCAGGGTAGATTTTTTTTTTTGTGTGAACAAGATGAATGTAGTTCAGAGAGACGCACTACTCGTTGGGGTAAAGACAAAGAACTAATGATAACACTTCCAGTTACCAGTAGCCTTTTTCTCTTCACTTATCTCGCTATTGAAACTGAACTTTGCCAGTTAAGTTTAATAGCAATTATTAGGACTGCTGTATTTGACATGTGATGAAAAAAGTATATTTCCCTCTAATAAAAATAGAGTCCTATTGCATTTGAAAATAGATTGAATAAGATAGCTATTCTTCAGTTATTTCTGCTCTGATATACATAACCATAGGCAGCATAAAGAAGGAAGAATGACTGCATTGAAGCCTGAGTGACAGATGAATACTTGGTGATTAAAAAAGCAGTTAAGAGACAGTTACATCAGTAACTTCGATGGGAATTTGCCCAAAGGCAAAGGTTTCCAGCTGGATATAAGCCTCTGTAAAACCAGTTTCCTGAATGCATGATTCTGAGTTTATGGGAGATGCTGTAAACTGCAGCACTTTAGTGCTTCCATTTACATAGGAGAAATCTCAGAAGTTTGGAGGTAGAAGATTTGTTTGCATTGAGGCTGCTTTTTAAAAGGATTTCCTTTTGACATTTGTTTTTGTCCAAGCTTGTGAGATAAAGGCATTAATAAAATGAATAAAGAACATAAAAAGAACAAAGGATCTGGCCAGTTCTGATTTCAGACTGTAGACCCAGAGAGGGACCACAGTGTGCCTAACACACGTCAGTCTAATGGCTGCTTCTCTGTCGGCAAGCATTTGTCGTGGGTTTTGTTGCTTCAAACTGACAGTAGGTTTAGCAGAATGTGGATAAGAGCAGAAAGGGCAAATGTACATTAAGAAAAGGGAAAGAATGAAAAAGTATTGCTGAGATGTAGAGGCCTGATTGGCCTAATTGGTAGATGAAGGAAATTGAGGTTCCTGACCAACTCCATATACACATGAGCCCAGAAAAGGGAAAATGTCTTACACCATTTGTGCTTTATTTTTCCACATTAAAGTAAGTGTCTGAGAGACTCTCATAGCTGGGCCTAAGAGAGCAAGAGTTTCTCACAGCATAGGACTCTGCTTAAAATGGGTTGTCACGAAAGAGGAATATAACAGAAGAGCTTAACTAGGCCCAGAAGCTTGATTACAATCACACTAGCCTGTGGTCATATAAAAAAGCCTTAGCAGGTGCGTGATGCTTTACATTTTTAAAGTGCCATGAAAATAGTAATTAACTAGAGTGATAATTAGTACTGTGGTTTCCTGACAGCCTATGTCATGTCAGTGGGCTCGTTTTGCTTTGCATTAATACTTAATGGGCTGATTGATTATGGCTTCTTCCCCTGTTTTCCTCTCTGTTTTATCATTTTCTATCATAAAGTGCCAGAAAATGAATTGTAAACTCAGCAGAGTTTCAGTCTTACGCTTTCTCACCACTGTTCTTTCTCTCTTGGTTGTAATTGTCACCAGCATGCCAGATCTTAGCTGGCTGAGGCACATGGGCATCCCAGAGAAGTGAGCCAAGTGAGAGGAGCTGTGTATCTTCTCTTATTCTTTCCTCTAGAGATGCATTTCATTCTTTCAGGCTATTTACTGTTGTAAGAGTAATTTGCCATCGAGTAAACAGGTGGCAGTCTTGGGAGCATTTGGCTTTCACAAACCACAGTGCCACTCAAACAGGGCTCTGCATGCAGCAGCATAGAGATATTTTGTACCGAACCGATGTGCTAACGTCTGCAATGTGAAAAGTAGCTCACTTGTGGCTCTGTTCCTCTCATATATTGTGACATAAAAGCTCTGGATTTACATCCTACTTCTATAATTGCCTGCTTTTCTTACCACTGCAGTCCTTCAGAAATAGGGTTTTGATTACTACTGATGCAGTTGGTTAGTGTGACTCCCATAATGTTGTTGCAGATTCATTCTTACATTTGGGGATGAACAGTTTGTCTCTGTAGTTTTGAAAACAAAACTGGGTCTTTTTGCTGTTGACCCTTTATTAAAATGCCAGATTTTCAATGCAATGGGTTTGTAATTAAGCCCTCTGAGCATCAGCATATTTTCAAGTTAGCCTGACATCTGCTATCATGTGTGTTTCCTGGAAAAATCTGACCAACTGCTGGGAAATGCAACACACTTTTGTTTGGGGAAATTCAGGAGGTCTTGAAACAGCTGATGTCCAGGCTGCTGCATTTCCCTCTCTACCCATTCGCCAGAAACATTCAGTACTGAAAAAGAGAACTGAGTCACCTACCTCCAGATAGACCACCCAGGGCATGACCAGAGTTGCTACCAAGAGATCTGCCACTGCCAAACTCACGATCAGGTAATTAGTGGTGGTCTGAAGAGATTTTTCCCTGGACACAGCCATGCACACCAGCACATTGCCAAAAACAATGACAAAGATGAGGAGAGTGAGCAGCATGGCATAGTAGTTATACTGAGGCTTGTGGTCTACAATGGACTCGTTGAGTGGCTTGCTCCAGTTCCTGTCACCGAAGTCACCGTTGTACCAAGAGAGGTTTAGAGGATCCATGGAGGTAAAAGTGCCAAGTTCCAGCTCCACCCTGACACAAGGATATTGAAAAGACAGTCAAAGGCCAACATGTAAAATAAGAACAAAACCATTGCACATGTGCTACCTCACTCGTGGATATAGGTTGCTCTGTGTTACAGCCAACAGAGTGCCTGAGATTTTTGTGTCAGCTCCTTGACATTCCCTAACCACTAACCGCTCTATGTTAGGAGTACACAGTTCAAGGAGTACCCACCTTGTGTACTTTTCATGTGCTTCATGGGGCTTTAGGTTATGTGGTTTGCTTGTTGGTTTGGGGGTGTTTTTCCCTTTGCTTTTCCTTATTTTTTCCCTCCAGCAGGGAAATAAATAAATAAAAATACCTATGAACAGGATTGTGATGATGACAAAACCTGAGAGCATCAGTTTTGAAGTTAGGGATGGACTGTGCTTGCCTTCTGCCATTCCCCCAGTGAGGTTGTGGTGCAAAGAGGAAATGGTGGGTATGTGTCATCCCACAACCCAGCCTCTGCAACTCCTGGCACTGGGAGGACAGGTCTCATTGGAAATCTGTGGCGTGATGGCAATCCATTGTTTCTTCCCTGGCCAGTGCCCATGTGCTGCGCACTCTGTCAAAGGTAACTTATAAAGTTTTGCTTCAGAGTTCCCTAGAACCTATTTTGGGGTTTGTGTGTGTTTTGTCCAGGCATGGAAAAGACTATTGCAAGTGCCTCTTTTGGAGTTTTTCTGTCTCCCAGGGCTGCCTCTGTGATCTGCTTCCTTAACGGAGCCATTTTTGGCACACAATTAGGTGGCTGTCACCTAGAGGCCTTCCTTGGCTTTCTGCTAGCTAAGGAAGAGGAGCATTGAGCTGAATTTCACTGTATGAGCTAACAGGGTCTCTGAGCTCACCAGGAACACTCCTGGCAGATGCTCCAAGGACAAGCAAGTGCAGCAGTATTAGCATAATAACACGGCTCCAGCATAGGGCAGAAGCAGACATATTCTAACTTCAAGCCATAGCTGTGCCATTGAGCAAGGTAAAATACAGCTCTGTTCCATTTGTCAAAACAGAGCTGCAGAGGGTCTCTGGAATGGCATTTATTCACAGGGATCGTTTTCAGCCCCTTGCCAGGTTTGCTTGTGTGCTTCAAAGCAAAGTACCAGGATCTGGGCCTGAGGTAGTCACTACCTCAAGAAAGGGTGACGTGTCAGAGAGTATGATTAAAGAGTAAAGGCAAGAGCAGTTTAAAAGCAACTGGAGATTTTGGCTATTTTGGTTTGGGGGTTTCTGGTCTGAGAGATCTAGAAGGTACCTCGTTCACTGCTCAGCGCTTCCTAAAATCAAATATTCCCTGTTTCTCAAGCTGTACCTCCATGAAGTCCACTGTGATTTGAAAATCCGGCCATGTTCTCAGACAAACCATCCAATTTTCTTAATAAAAAGACAAAGTGAAATCAATTTATGAAACCATGTAAGTGATCAAAATAGCAAAACATTTGCAAATATCAAATTCACCCGGGAACAATGGTTTCTTTATGTTTCACTGAGCTTTTGTGTGCTTTTCTCATTCAAAGAACAATTTGTATAATAATCCTTGGAAATTTGTTGCATATGGGTCCTTAATAGCTGATAATTCAAAAAGTGTCTGTCTGACAGTGCTATCAGCGGCACTTGATAGCTCTACAAATGTCTTCTTAGAACCTGTCAAAGTGTCAGAAATTAATTAAATGTTAGCTTGTGTGACTCAGAGTGAAGGGGGAAAATCAATGCTAAATGCAGCAGGGTTTTTTCTTTTCTCCTGTTACCTTTTGACAATGCAAAACTCTCTTGGAGAAGGCAGAAACATGCATAAAATGCAGGATGGGGGAAAAAAAAAAAAAGCAGGAACGTGGAGAAGTATCTTAGAAGCACAAAAGGAATAGAATGATTTAATATGTGCAGGATCACCCGCTTGGTCCTGTTCTGGCTCCTTCTGAGCTCTGACTGTGGTTCACAATTGTGTTTCGCTGGAGAAAAGGCCAGAGACAAGGGTGAGTTATGTACACAGTAGTTCTAGCCCTGATTGTTTTACAGGCCATTGCAACTCAGTGGAGAGTTGGAGGAACCATATAAGGCTCACAGAATCATAGAATAGTTAGGGTTGGAAAGGACCTTAAGATCACCTAGTTCCAACCCCCCTGCCTTGGGCAAGGACACCTCCCACTAAACCATGTTACCCAAGGATCTGTCCATCTGTCAGGCATTTATTATTACATAGCTTCTTGTTATAAGACACAAACCAAATATTTTGCATGAGATAGGGAAACTAAAACACAGTGTAATTTGTGATAATTGCAATTAAAGGCTCTATCTGGTACATACAGTACAAAATTACAATTACACAGAGAACTGGGTTAATTCCTAACTTAGGAGAGTTTGAGTTTTCAGTCCTAAAAATAATCTTAATTTCTCTAGGTACAGAACTGGCATCATTTGGAGACATTATGGTGGCCATTAGGGTGTCCTGTGAGTCTTTCAGTACTGCTTTAAAGAGCACTTTTTCTTTACTGTTGACAGTTTCTCAGTAGAGAAGAAAGAAGCACTTTAAAAAGCTGACTAGAAGAGAGAATGCTTTTTATTGTGTTTGTCCAGGCACCTGCATTTTCATATGGAGGCAGAGGGAAAGGATCATAAATGCAGAGTAGAAATGGCACCTTGCTATGCACTGTCCTTGTGGGACCTTGCTGAGTTTCACTATCCCTGTACACTATTGCCAGAGGCAAAACACAGTCTCAGTTTCAGCTGAGACTTTGGGTGCAGATGTGGGTAGAGACCTGAAATGGAACAAACTGCATTGTGAATTAACTGCAGTAAAGCCGCATTAATTCCCATACAGAGTCTGCACGGATTTTTAGTATGGCTGAGCTAATCCAGATATGGATTTACCGGGAGGTCAAGGACAGGCCAGAGCAGCAAGGTTGCAGCCTTTTGTTTGATGCCAGCAGTGCAGCAGCATGACTGCATTGCACAGAGCATCTCTACTGCTTTCCCCTTCTATAGGATCATGTGTACAGCCAGGTCTGTGCTAATCCCCTTTACATTCACCAACTTGAGTGTCCTGGTTCAAGCATGGCCTAGCTGGGAAGCATTTTGGCATCCAGAGGAAAACAGCCTCTCTCAGGAAGTTCCCATGCTTCCAGATGTCTTTCAGCAACTGGAGGAAATCTGCTGTTTGGCTGCTGGAAGGGACAGGGAAAAGGGAACCAGGCTAGAGGCTGTGAATGCAGATCCAGAGTTGTTCTCTCTCCATTGTAGTCAACTCCCTGTTCTTCTCAGAAAGCAAGCTGAAGATACCTTTGTTTGCAATGCTGGTATTTCTCCTTGGCTCCTCACAATTGATCATGTAATTACTTTTGTGGTAAACAAGCATGACATCACCCTGGCAAATGTGTAATGTTCATGTCATTAAAATCCAGCCAGGAGCTAAGCACCACGCAGCCATACAGTTGCTCACCACCCTCTGACTGATGCTCAGCAGTTGGCCCCTTCCAGGTGATTCCCTCTAGTTTCTATACTCAGCATAATGTCCTCTGGTATGGAATATCCCTTTGGCTAGTTTGGGTCAGGTCTCTGCTCCCTTCTGGCTTCTTGTTCCCCTCCTCACTGGCAGATTATGAGAAACTGAAAAGTCTTTGATCAGGGTAAGCACTGCTTAGCTACACCTGAAACATTGGCGTGTTATCAGCATTATTCTCATATGAAATTCAAAACATAACACAGTACCAGCTACTATGAAGAAAACCAACTATATCCCAGCTGAAACCAGGGCAGTTCACAACTGGCAGCAACAAAACTGTTCGTCTTTCTGGCAAGATCTAGAAGATGAAATGTGTATTAAGCAAGGAAGTCGAGTTTGCTCTATCATACAGAGATAGATGTACCAGACCGTTCACTGGGAAACAGAGGGGTAAAAGATTCCAGCAGAAACTCATACCTACAGCTTGCCTTTGTTTGAATAGCATCCTGGGTGTGCCCTCTGATTTTCTTAGTTCTTTGCAAGATCAGAGATGGCTTGAATCAGAGCAAATGTCTATTTTTCCTCTCAGAAATAGCAAAAGTAACACTCTTTTTTGTTTTTCCTGTGCTTGCAAACACCCTCAGGCATAAAACAGTCACAGGACTGACCTGAGCTAGCATCAGCATCTAGCAGATGCTGTGATGCATGTCATTGCAGCATCCGTTTTCTGTATGGTAAAGATTGGCGGCCTTTGGAGCTCATCTGGGTTTGGCTGCCAAAACATGCAGTCAGCCTTTTCTTTTCCATAAAGCAAAGTGAATTTCCCTAAGGTTTTGTCCCAGGCATAATGTATTTAAGATGAAGTTTGGAGTTCAGCCTGGAGCAGGATGGTACAGGTAGGAGCAGGAGCTGAGGGATGATGCCTGAGCAGCGGCTGAGTCGCACCTCCCCTGGGCAGGCAGCATGCAGTGTGGAATGCAGGCAGCTAGCAGCACTGATGTGATGTGGGGAGGTTGCTGGTTCAGCATGCTTTCAGGGGACAAGGTTTGCCATGGACCTAGACACAGTCACACTGCTCGGCTTGGCACTCCTGGTTGCCAGAACACCTCAGTGACTGAACTCTATGTAAACCTAACAGGAAAACAACAGCAAAAGCCATCAGCTACAGTATCCTGATAAGAGATGTTTCCACAGCAGCCTCAGAACAGTCTCCTCCTCCCTTTCCCAAGGTATTTCTTGCACGCAGTTCTTGCCAGATTGCCTGTTTCCTTCTAATTGCTGCTACCCAGATGTACCCATCAGGTTACAGAAAGTCTTGCCTAGGACTGTGAGAAAGGTGTTTAGAGACAGATTTGCTCTAAAGGTGTTTCTGTTTCACAGAAATCAATGTCCAAGGGAAATCTGCACAGTACAGTGCCTCCCTGAATATTGTCATTTTCCTCTGAAATTCTGGAATCAATGGGCCACAGGAAAGCTGTCAAGCTGACATCTTTTCTGTCCTGAAGATGCTTCTTAATGCTGTTTACCAGGCTCCACTGAGAATGTGATTGAG